GTCATATGACAAAACAAGGCTCTTCAATACCCTCCCCAAAAATCACACTAGTTCATCAGCAATACGTCCAAACCAAGAAGAAATCCCTGATTTACCTGAAAAAGAATTCAGAAGGTTAGTTATGAAGCTAATCAGACCAGAGAAAGATGAAGCCCAATGCCAGAAAATCCAAAAAATGATACAAGAAGTAAAGGGAGAAATATTCATGAAAATAGATACCTTAAGAAGAAACAATCAAAAATTCAAGAAACTTTGGACACACTTTCAGAAATCAGAAATGCTCTGGGGAGTCTCAACAATAGAATTGCAGAAGTAAAAGAAAAAAATTCAGAATTCAAAGGTCTTCAAATTAAACCAATTCAACAAAGACAAAGAAAAAATAAGAAAATACGAACAAAGCCTCCAAGAAGTTGGGATTATGTTAAATGAACAAACCTAAGAATAATTGGTATGCCTGAGGAAGAAGAGAATTCTAAAAGCCTGGAAAACATATTTTGGGGAATAATCGAGGAAACTTATTCATCTAAATTTCCGTAAAGAATGGCTTCAAGCTTATAAAAACTCAAAATGTAAAACCAACAGTTAAATCACACTGACAATATGAATGTAAACACCAAATGTCTTATCGGGCATCTAAGTGAGATCTGGGAAATTAAATTTAAATTCTGTTGAAATGGGTCAATTGAAAGTAGCCTCAAAATAATATCAAATCTTTAAGGCAAAAGGTCATTAACTCAAGTTTTAAATTCTAAAGAGTGAGAATTTAAAAATCTCTCTCTCAAAAGTCTAGAATAGATAGCTTATTCACATTTATACTCTGTATTCAGACTTATACTGTATATTTTGTCCTATCTATTTAATACAATGAAGATGTACAAAATGCTAATTCCTGGTTGGTTCCTACCACATCTCAAAATAACTTTTAAAATCCATCTCTATGAAAAGATATGGATTATATAAGACATCTAATCTTATTTATCAAAACTTCTTTGCTTCCTTTTACTCCCTTCTCTTGTCTTCCTTTCAGCCCAAGAATCTGGCAGTGTGAAAGAAAATACAGCTGAAGCTATGGCCCATTATGACAGATGAAGTCATTTGATCATGTTAAGAGAATATTCACTTGAGGCACTTGATCAGCCTGGATTGTCTTTACACCGATTTTCCTTGCCCAACTTTCTATGCCTTCCCTGCTGTGGCGCCTACACCATTTGCTCACCAAGCTTCGATCTGATGGGCCATTACTTACCTATATTACTTCTTGGGCAAAGCATCCCCTAGACAAAATTAAGTTTAAGAAAAGCATAGAGGTGACAAAAGCTCCAGTGTTCATGAGGTTAAAATGGTAAGTCTCCAAATATCATGAGTTTGGCCCACTCAGGTATACATTAAGTTTTGCATATATGCTTGAGAGCTTCAAATCTTTGCTATAATTAGGGCCACTGAAATAACCTTCCTAGACACTGAGGTCATAAAAGAAAGCCTCCTGCAAACTACAGCAAGTCTTTTAGTCCTAGGCAGCTGCAGGGACAAGGCTGGGAACATAGATGCATGAAAAGGCCAGCTAGACCACTAAATCACTTACATTCAGATTTTTAAATAACACTAATCAGGTGGCCCTCTGTGACTTCTGCTCTAAGAGTAGAATACATACAGCAGAGATTGGAAAATAGATGTTTAATGAAAGTAGATTCCTTGCAAGCTATATTCACCAGCAGAATCATGTGAACACCGGAGTGGCAGATGAGAGAAATAAATCTGATGGCTCTGCAACGACAAGAAAGTTCACCAGGAAAGGTTAAGGGAAAACCTGATAGAGAACTGATAAAGCCAAGCAGGAGAAAATGTGAGGCAAAGAAGTTCATAAGGTAATTCCCACTGGGAAAGAGTTTCAAACTCTGGACACCAAGAAGGATGTTGTCACCACAGCCTTCACTAGAGCAAAAAAAGGGCACATCCAAGAACCTGGGCTCATAAAGTCATGAGGCTAGAAAAGACCAAGGGTTTTTTATTCTGAGATGTTTACCCATCTGCAATTTAATAGGGAACATGGCAAAATTACACACACTCCTGCCTTTTAATACTAAGCACTTAGTCACTTCATCTTAGACCTTCATTACCTCAGCTCTTAAGTGACAGAGGTAAACCAGATGATTTCTAGGTCCCATCCAAATCTTTAAAAAAGATAATGTCTGCAAGAAACGCTTATATGCTTATACATTCTGCAATCCAGACCTTTCTAATGTGCCACTTTGTATATTCTGATGCAACTATTAGAGCTAAACCAACATTGTAAACTGCACAATTACAGGCTTGGAGCAGAAGTAACTCCTCACAGTATTTCTTCATAAGAAATATTCATGAAAATGTTATCACATCACCTTTGGACATAATAAAAATTAAGCACAAATCAAATATAAGATAAATCTTTAATATGTTTCTCATAGCAAAGCAAAGAGACTGTCTGAAACTATTTCTGCCCTTTTCCTTTCACACTGCTAGACTAAGTTGGGGGGTGGGGGAGGCCAGATCAAGAATAGCTTACACAGGAGAAGGCTCTGGCTAGAAACATATTTGTACCATTGTGGTCTGTGGGGTGTAGAGGGATGCACAGTGGGCAGGGAGATTTGGATTCTAGACCTAACCCTTCCAGTAACCATGTAACTCCAGGCAAGAGATTTTTATTTTCCTGCCTCCATTTTCTATTTGTAAGACAGCAATAATTCTACATGTCTCTTCTACCTCAAAAATGTGCTAATACAGAGATAAATCATGTGGGAAAATTTCAGTTATAGGGAAAAAAGGTATTATAAGCATTAATTAAGCATGTTAATGACAACAAGTGCTGATTTAACAATTTTTTTAAAACCTCATTATCCTGATTAGATCAAGACAAGCGGGAGGGAGAGTGGCAAGTGGGTCATCAGCAAGGAGAGGCAAGGCATTACGACTGTGATGTGCTTCGACCTGAAGCACATGCACACAGCCTAAATCTCTCCAACAGAATCAACTCAGCTACACTAGGCACGAACCTGGCTGATGGCCCCTGTGCTGTGAACCAACACACTGTCCATCTTTCTTCTTTTCTTCATTTCTTTCTCCCTTCCTTCTTTTCCTCCTTTCCTCTGCCCCTTCCTTACATACATTCAAAAATTTTGCACTGAGGTTTTCAAATGTTCCATATCCTAGCTATGTGCACAGCCCTTATGTTGCTTACAAATCTAGTTATTTAAATGAAAATGACCAAGACAGGGATTTGGGGATGCTTGAACAGAAAAGCTCAGACGAGGACCTGAGAAGAGAATCCAGGGTTTCTGCGGCATGAACCCACAGGTAATCAGGCAATCAGGTGGGCCATCCCATCCTTCTTCAAATTTTCTCTCTCTCTCTCTCTCTCTCTCTCTCTTTTTTGTATTAATATATCTGTCCTTTTCCCTCACGTTTCCTTAATTTTCCTGTGGGTAGGCAGGGAAGGAGAGTCATAAACTGAATGCTGATTATAATGAATAGTTTTCATTTACTATTTCATTAAGCCTAAATATCTCTTAGGAAAACAATCCTGTAACAATGGACAGAAGATGAACAGTGAAACAGGAGGATGTTACAGGAAAAGACAAAGAAGGTCTAAATGAAGGCAAACAATGTCAGAACTATTTCTCTATGGAAAGGCATTTCTATTATAAAAGGCAAAATAAAAAATATTCTTCTGGAATAAAGTTGGCTTCTACTTACGTGTGGCTGAGGTAAAGATATTCAAATCATAGAACATAGAATCCATAACCCCAAACCAGCTATTTTTCCACCTTCAAATTTAAAGCTTGAATCATGCATATATCCATAACAATGATAATAATTACAGCTTGAATTTTTTTTAGAATATCTCTGTTCCAAGCATTGTGGTAGGTGCTTTATAAACTCATAGGGTCCCAGTGGCAGGGCAAGCATTATTACATTCACTTTCTAAAGGAAGACATAAAGAGTCTGGAAAGGAAAGTAACATACTTAGGGTCATATAAGTAGTAAGGGTTAAAAAGAGGCAGGATCCAAGTGTTGCTGTATCTGTCTCCAGAGCCTATGCCTATTAGATTATGCTATGCTGTCTCCATGTTTATCTTTTACAATTTCACTTGCATTCCTTTTCACTTCTAGGAATGCTAGATTGAGTGAGGGAAAGGAAGCAACAACAAAACTACCAGAGTGGGAATGGGGGTGGGGTGGTAAAGAAAAAGGCTTATAAGTAGGAAGAAGAGAAAACCACACCACTTCCCACACTGTGGTTCTTGCTGTAGGAAGATACTATAGCTCTGCATCAACAGATCCATTCAAGTAATGCTCCCTGCTGCTGCCACAGAGAGGCTAGGAAGAGGGAAGCAGGACATGGGAACTGCTGCCCCTAAGAGACCTGCCCCTATGACCATGGGAAGGACAGCCCTGGGTGTCCATGACCATCACTGACTGCACACAGAGGGGCACGTGGACTCTCTCTCCATGCTGACCCATGAGTGCCTGGGCTCTGAAGCCTGCTCACGTCTCTTAATTCCCATCTTTCACTTTGTCTCTTCCCCCTTATTCTGATGATCACAATCCCAGCCAACAGCAGAAGAGACTGGACTCATCTGGATTACATTAGTTGCTAGTATCATGTTATTTACATTTATGAAATATTGTCTCGCGCGATCACATTTAGTAAAACTTTTTCTTAAAAAATAGTTTTATCCTCTAATCCGCTTTTTATTGCTTAGAAGCAAAACAAAATGGATCATATATTTAAAAGCAAGAGAGAAGAAAAAGGACATATCGTTCTAGAAATGTCTAGCAAGCAAATATCCCAAGAATATTTATCCAATGGGTTACCCTGGGATGTTGGAGGGAAAATGTGAAATCAATTTTCTTGCCTATCATTACTTTAATATGAAATTTAAACCCCAAATACAAACACAGGCACATTCCTTTAATTTGGGAGAAGTACAGTTGCGTTTAGGGAGCACAGACAGAGCTCTTACCTGGCATGACCATAGTCTGTGGGGCCGCTGCATCGGTACTTAGGCAGAGACGGCCACCTTTGGCTAATCTATCACAAAGCAAGGTGATATGTTTCTTCAGTTGGCTTGTGTCTTTGGGAATGTTCAGCTGGCTGTTGAGGTTCAAAGCCTGCTCCTTTGAACTCTTTGATAGGCAAGTCTTCAACAGGTGGGAAATGGCAGCATCCACCGTTTCTTCCCAGCCCTGGATACAAAAGCCAATTTTGAATTAATACAAAGATGACAATGAGAAAAGTGGGCACTTGATGTATTATACAGATTATTAAGTGTTTATATTCAAGTACTGGGGACCTGTGAAGAGCGTGGTATCTGGAATATTCCAGACTAGGCTGGTTTGGAGTTCTAGCTCTGTCACCTTTTTAACCTTGAGCAAGTTACTTAATTCCTCTTAGCCTCATCCTCATCTACAAATGAGGATGTTAATAGTCTGTCCCTTCAAGGGTTGGAGATCTATGAGAAGGGTTTAGCCCTGAGCCAATCATAGAGTAATGAGTAACAACAAAAGGAGTCTCAGGCACAGGCCTGTTTGATGATGTGGTGGGTAAAGCTGCCAGGATTACACTTTGTTTTGCCTTATCTTTCTGCTAAAGAAAAGCTGGCCAGGAGAGAGACGACCTTTGGATGCCCTGGGGGAAACTGGAATGGAGAGAAACCCTGGTGTCTCCCTCAGGTACTGGTCCCACAGTCTTGGAGTTACAGGCAGAAACAAAGGAGCTATTTGAAGAAGGATCCTGTGAGACACGGGGCCTGCCTAGAACTGCTCACTGTCCAAGTAATGGTAAATGACACAAAATGAAATAGGCCATCACCTCCACTTTTTTGGGGAACAGTGTGGCTGTGCTGCAGTGAAAACTTGCAGTGACAGCTGCAATTCTAGGAACATCAGTGCTAGGCAGGAACCTCAGCCTTGTCACAGAGAGTCCTGGCACCAGCAGGACTGGCAATGGGGAGACAACACCCTCAGGTGGGTTCAGCTAATGCTGGCAACAAGGAATATGGGGTAAAGAGCAGGAGGAGTCAGTTTAGGAGCTCCTTCTAGGCATCCCCAGGGGCTCCCAGAAATAACTGGGTAAGATCTTTATGGGGATCTGGAGGTCCTAAGAAGTACAACAAGGAAGCAAAGCATAAGTGAAGTCTGTGTGTTGCTATGAATGTGACTCCATCTGTACACAAAGGCCAGTAAGGCCTAGAGCACCAAGAGCCTGATCATCTAATACAATACTGCAGAATAGTGCAAGTCCCTTATATTAGAGGTAAGAGACCTGAGGCTAAGAGAGAAGGTTCCTCTGGAAGCCCTCATTCCATCCTCAAACATGATTTGAGCCACCATTCAAACATGCAAATCAGATGAGGTTACTCCCAAGCTTCAACTCTGATATGTTTGGTCGTGTCCCCACCCACATCTCTTCTAGTAGTTCCCATAATCCCCACGTGTTGTGGGAGGGACCCGGTGGGAGGTAACTGAATCATGGAGGCGGCTACCCTCATGCTTTTCTCTTGATAGTGAGTGAGTTCTGACAAGATCTGATGGTTTTATGTCTGGCATTTCCCCTGCTGGCACTCATTCCCTTTCCTGCTGCCCTGTGAAGAGGTTCCTTCTACAATAACTGCAAGTTTTCTGATGCCTCTCCAGCCATGCAGAACTGTGAGTCAATTAAACCTCTTTTCTTCATAAATTACCCAGTTTCAGGTATTTCTTTATAGCAGCACGAGAACAAGCTAATACAGAGGCCTAAATTCAAACACTCAGTTTGGCATTTAAGGCACTTTCTGCTCCAGCTCTTGCTCCATTGTATTCTGTTCTCATCCACCTGCACCTACTCTGTCTCTCCCTCAAGCCTCTGCACATGGCCGGAGCTCAGGCTGCCCTACTCTCCACTCTTTACCTGGCCAACTCCCACTTAATGACTTGCTCAGGTACTGCTATCCAAGGATTCCTTGGTGGGCCCTCTTGGGACTCTGAGACTTCACGCACCTAGATGCATCATAGCGCTTATCACCCTGTGATGTGATTGCTGTTTGCATATCTGGTTTTCCCTGAGAGTACCTGGAGTTCTCCACATCCCCATACTGTTCTTGGTATACAGAGGATGGTCAAAAAATAAGGACAGAGAGAAGGTGAGATATAAAACCAGGGCCTTAAATCTGAGAGGGCTTTGGAGATCTTTATGTCTAGTCTTGTGGGGTTTTCCCAGGGTTTTTTTTTTTTATATACAATAGCAAGCATCTGCCTAAGCATAGCTGTCCTCAAGATCCAAAATCACTACTTTTTGGGGCAGTTCACTCCTTTCAGGGACATGTGTAAACAATAGAAAACTATTCCCACACTGAGGCAAAGTCTATCCCATTGGCCCTTCTTCTACCCTCGAGAGCCATGCAGAATAAATCTAACCTCTCTTCCACATGACAGCCCGTTATAGCTATGAAGACAGCAATTCTGTACCCTCTCCTCCAGAATAAACATCCTAGTTCCTAGTTCTTCCTTATATAAACAGAGTTTGAAGTTTTTTCTCCATCCTGACCACTCTTCTTTGAATAGCCCCAGTTTGAAACACTTAAAAATTTATACAGCTAGGCAGAGAATCCCAAACTGACCTCAAGACACTGGGCTGCAGCTGGGAGTGTAGGTAGCCCACAGCCTTCCCTCCCTTTTTCTAGGAATTCTCCTGCCAGCCTGGCCTCCAGTTGCCTCTGCTCTCTTGGCAGTTGCCTTACACTCTTGATTCACATTGAACGCACAGACACCTAAGCCCCAGGTCTTTGCCACGCTTGCCACGTCTCTTTTAGGTTTATGCAGTTCTTTCTGTCAATCTCTCTCTATTAAGACAGAGTTTCACTCTTTTCACCTAGGCTGGAGTGCAATGGCAAGATCTCAGCTCACTGCAACCTCTGCCTCCCAGGTTCAACTGATTCTCCTACCTCAGCCTCCCAAGTAGCTGGTATTATAGGTAAGTGCCACCACATCTGGCTAATTTTTGTATTTTTAGTAGCGATGAGGTTTCACCATGTTGACCAGGCTGGTCTTGAACTCCCGACCTCAGGTGATCCACCTGCCTCGGCGTCCTGAAGTGCCGGCCTCCTGAAGTGCTGGGATAACAGGTATGAGCCACCCTGCCTGGTCTGCAGTTGGTTCTTTAGATCAAAGAGCAGACTCTACATGTTTCCACTGGAGAACTTCCCACTGACTGCCATCACTTTTCACTCTATTGGCCCATTTCTATTGACCCACCTATAGGTGTCACTAGACAAGTTAGGGAATAAATAGATGATTTTAAGCGATCTTGAAAATCCTTTCAAGAGATTCAAGAGACCTGAAAGACCATAAAACAGCTTCCTACCCCAAACTACTAAAGAATAATAAACCAATGATTGTTACAAAGACATCTCTCTACTACTACCAAAATCTAAACTAGACTAATATCTAGAATTGACTTTGTATTTCAGTAATAATGGGAAGAGGTAAATGAAGGCAGAATAGTAACCTAGACATCATTGGAGAGGACATATTTTCAATTGAAGCCATTAACAAAGGCCTCTGGCATATAAAAAGAAAAAATCCTTTGAATATAATTTGACATTTGTAAGCTCTGTGGTCATTTCAGCATTAAAATAGTTCCTACTCTCATTCATTTAGGCAAACTACTGTATCATAAATAGATTACAGTAACATATTAGATAATTTAAGTAGACATGCCATTTAGTTAATACAGAGTACTACAGAATTTCTTTTCCTAATGCCAACTTGCAGATTAAGTCAAAAATCATGCCATGTTTAGGTATGTGGCATGGATATTTCTTTAATATAAATGAGGTGTGATGCCAATGATTCAGAAAGATTGCCACTAAAATCCAGAGTTATTACATGGAGGGCCTGAGTTGCTACCTAAATTCAAATATAAGAATATTTGTGATACAAAAGAAGAGCCTTTGACAAGTTTGTTAAATAAAAATGCAATGTGATAATTCACTGATCAAACATGTAACAAACTTACCTATGGAAATATGAAATAAAACTGTGAAATGAATCTCAGGTGTGAGAAGTACCTTAAAGGTAAGCTATTTTAAACACCTTCTTGGTATTTGAGTCTGTTACCATTATTCATAGCCCTTAAATTGGTAAGGTTAATGTTCAGTTTTAATGTCTAAATACACACACATAGTACATGCACATACCTAACCTTTATCCTTTAAAGATGAATATCAATCATATGAATATTTTTGTCTTACATTGTGAGAGTAAAAGAAAATCTTAATTTGGGAAATATAGCACTAAAAATTTCTGGAAGGAAATTGAGCATGTGCTCTTCAGTGAGAACTGGTTTTTTTAATAGTTCTCAAATCCACAATTTGCTGTAAATACCAGGTTGACCTGTGTATGGCTTTTAGAAAACAATATTGGTCGGGGAGTGGGAGGGCGCTCGGGGAGGGAAGGAGGAAAGGAAGAAAGGAGGGAAGGGAAGGAAGAGAAGGAGGGAGGGAGGGAAGGAGAAACGGAGTGAGAGAGGGAGGGAAGGAGAAAGGGAGTGAAAGAGGGAAGGAAGGAAGGGAGGGAGGGAGGGAGGGAGGAAGGAAGGAAGGGAGAGAGGGAGGGAGGGAGGGAAGGAAGGGGAGGAAGGGTGGGTTAGTTAAATATACATGTTACTTTATTTTATCCTGCCCACTGCCCTTGTCATTATTGGAAATTAACTTATCCACCGGGTTTGTGGTATTTTTTGGTTTACTTTGTCTAGTTTAGTATTGGTAACTGGTTTTCCTTTGTTCACAGACTTTGGCTTTACCCAAGTCTTCTACCAGAGCCCTTGCCTTGGGAGCCTGCTTAAAGTGTCACTTCCTGATAGATAGCTGCCTAGCTGCTGCAAGATCCCTCTAAGGAACTAGACCCAGGGGCTGAGGCCCTGCCTGCTACCTGCTTCCACATCTTGCCAGCCTGTGCAGAGGCTCCTATGCTGCACGCTGGTCTCAGATGCCTTTGTGTACCAGTGTGATGCCTGGTGTGTCCTGTTTCTCTGAGCCAGTTCTTTAAATTTCAAGGACCTGGCCTTGCCTAGTCTGCTCTTCCTGAGTAAAGTCAGCTTAGCTATGCTTTTTGCTGTCTAGAGACTAGACAGCCACAGCTGAATTTCTGATTGCTTTGCTCTACCTACCCTGCTAGTCTCCACTGATCAACAGGCCTAAATACTAGAT